GGAATACATAGGGGGAGGGCCTTCACGCAGCACCGCTGCGGAGAAGCCCGGGGCGACGCCGCGACGCGTGATGGCAGGAAACGGGATGTCAGGAGGGCACAATGGTGGCGGGAGGTTTACGCACTGCTCACTGCGGGGGAGAAGTATTGGCGACCTAAAAGTTTGACTTGAGGAGCCCGGGAGACCAATGACTGCGATGGGGTAAAGGATGAGTGCGAGTCGGAATGGTGGGAGGAAGCAAAAGACGACGATCGGAAAAAGTGTGACGTGGCAGCGGAGTTTGAAGCTCTGATGAAGAAACAAGCGAAGTCGCGGACTTGGAGAGAAATTTCAAAAATTGACCTCGACGTAGAGGGATGTTGTCGGCAGCTGCTCAGACAGATGTTGTGGCCAACGTCTATCCGATGTCGGAGTGAAGTTGTCGGCATGATGCCGAATTTCGGCCATGGAGCGTTGCAGATCCAAGCCAAAAATGGTTTTGTGGGACCGGCATTGAACGGCTGTAAGATAGAGGTTTTTGTTTCAATATCTGTTCTACATCGAAATTGGATGCGAAGTATGCCGCATTCATAGGCATTTTTTATACACCACTTTTTGACAAATCATTATGGGATCGCAAACGGTGGTGTACGGCCGCGATCCGGGAGCCTTCGGCGGCCGACGGTACGTTACGGATCACGTACGAATAGGGTACGGTACGGGATACGGTCACCTTCCGGGGGACAAATCAGCAGGTCCGAGGTCTCGGCATGGTTTATATCACTGAAATTCACTCAGGGCGATATTGGCCGGCGGTCACCAGAAATCAGCCCGGAGGTCCGATTGTGACGGGATCTAATTAGACCAATCGAACTATGACTCCCACCTGGTGTCTTAATAAGGATTGACGAACTAGGGACCTGCAGAGTGCGATTGCAACCGTGTATTAGCCATTAGTTTCAATTTGTATCCCACTTGAATGTATTTTTATTCAAAAGCAATTGTGTGTCGCTTATGTAAACCTCTCTTGCATTTTACCATGATACTGCACGATGTGTACGCAGTTTTGGTGAGGTCGACACTGTTCCCGAAACGGAAGGTTTCGAGAACGTTATCAAGGCCCCCGAAACTCCGGAAGGCTTACGACTCCGACCTGCCGTGGCTCTCGTCACACGTTACGACGTGAGCCATGGAGATGTGGCTTATAATCCAGGCGAGCCGTCACATTGGCAGTTGCTGAGCCAGGGCTTGCCAGGGTTTCCCCCTTTCTACATCATGTTTACGATCTGCAGGGTCCGGAATTCAACGTCAACATTGTTTTGCTTCCCACGAACTTCCCGTATGTCCATATTGTACGTCAGCTTCGGCGATGCCTTAAAGATCCTCATTCATATGCAATTTCGGCACTCGCCCGTCCAGTTCTTGCCCTTGACATCTCCGCACTATAATATTTTTCTGTTCGTGTTCATACCGGCTATGGGGGAGTACGATCAAACTATTGGTTCGTTCTACATTGCTTGGTTCATTTCACGCCTAACAAGGTCTTCACCTTTGCTTTCCAGGGTTTGCCCTGATGGGTGTGACCGGTGAGTTTCTGTCTGCCTCCCCGCTGAAAGAACCCTGAGTGTTTAACTTCAGTCAACACGTACCTCATGGGGTTAATCATGTCCCAGTTTTTTACATACTGGATTGCAAGTGCGTTTTCTAGCGATGCTTGATCCATACATTTCGAATCCCAAACCTGGAAATATCTTAGAGTACCAAGATCCACGGTGGATCAAGTAAATAATTCCTTGTCTGTCGTTCGCGCAACTCATGAAGTTGCAGATTATTGGTGGCTTTTTTGTTTATAGTCAACACTGCCCAGGCTGGTGCCCTCGTGTACATGTCGTGGTAAATGTCTCAACATGTCGCTGGATCGATTGTTGACTGTTATTCCATCCAGGTTCTACTGTGTTACGTTCGTAAGACATTTGAGAGCAATGGTGGGGAACTCATCTATCTGTATAGGAACTTTGCAAATCCTCGAGTGGTTGCCAGTAAGAATTCTCTACCGCAGAAGAGAACCCATCTGAATCTGTTTATTCAGTGATTCCATGGCCGCATCCCTTTGCAGGTCTTAGTAAGACAAAGCCCATTCGTCTCATCCATACTCAACTCTTTACAGCAGGGGCCATCCTCGCAATCACAAATCAAATGCTACAATCGTGGAGGATATATTTGTTCACCAGAAACAAAATTCTCACCGGGTTCTTGGTGGCAACCTCTGTGGCGGCCTGTGGAATGGGCATTGTCGCTGCAATCGAGGCGTGGTCATTTTCCGAGTGCGTACATACCCTCCTAACGGCACGACAGCTGCCGGGACCAATGTCATTTCAACGCCACAGACAGACCAAGCTCGTATTGTTGCAGTCAAGCGTTATGGTCAATTCTGCGCTTCAGTGTGCCATCGACGTGATCATCACTGGTGAGCTGTATCTATTCCTTGTTGCATGACACTGCGGGCTAAGGTCCTAATTTGAGTTGTGCTCACCGTTGTGTACACAAAATCGAAAACAACGTTCGCAAGGACGGATAAGGTGTTCAATCGCCTGATTCGTACCGCAGTGCAATCAGGTTTCTTTACAGGCGAGTAGTCTGGCACTCCATAGTGAAGCATCTAACGTAGTATCAGCCGTATTTGCACTGGGAATCCTGTTTTCCTCCCGCTTCTCGTCTGACACGTACATGATGTCGCTGTTTACCTTCCCAATCGGGCGAATTTACACACATGTTAGTCTCTGTCTTCCAAGTGAACAGATGACGCTAATATCCCTCTTTGTCGTTCCAGACAATAATGGATCATTTCGTAAGCCGTGAAAAGCTTCGGGACACTCTATAAGAGTCTATACTAGAAGAATGAGACTGGGACTTGCCCAGTCCTATCATCAGTACGCGAGTCCCATCGATGAGGAAAGGAGAATGGGACTCGCCGTTGGAGAATACTAGTAGGATTCGGATCATCAACGGGCCATCACCCACGCCCGCCGCATCGTCGGCAGATCACGGGCATCATTATGTGACCATTATCACACGAAGTCTCACCACTGCATTCCTCGAGTCGCGCGCGGCGTGGCGTAGACAGAAATATTATGCGGGGCTTCTGACTCATGGGTATTAATTTTAGTGTGGTAATTCCCGCCTTACTAGTCATCCACCTCCCAGCCGGCATTTATGAAATGATAAAGTATTTATCGACGCTCACGCCTGTGAGGGCCTCCAGACCGGAGCAGACAGGTAAAAGGTTGCAGCGAGTGTTATTCATGGTGGACTCTGACACTGTATCGAAGGAACAATGTCAATTCATTCCAGGTCATATCGGACACCGCAGTTAACGAAAGTTGAATTCCATAATATTTACTCTTCATAAAGTTGAATTTGTGAAGGCGGTTCTTCGCGTGGAGGAGCCGCGCGCGGAGCGCCAGCGCGGGACCAGCTTATCGAGCCACGTCCTCGGGGCCTTCCCAAAAAAAGAATTGATCCTCTGCAAAGGGAAGCCCCGTGTAAAGAATACAGCTTATGGCGTTGCTTGCCCTATTTAGAGGCAGGTGGGGTGCTAGAAAGTCCTGACCTGGATAGTTCATTATAAAAGATACAGCCGAGAAAGAGCAGCACCTCGATTCGATCGAGAACCTCAGGGTTGATCTAGGCTCAACCTGCCTGTAAGAGACCCCCCTGTGCGGAATACACCATACATACTGCTTCCATTGTCTTGTTTCGTACTTGGTTTAGTGCTATAAGATGGGTGAGTAAACAAGAACCTCGGGGCGATTAGAACTTGAGCTATCAAGAATAGGACGTGCAAATCCAGAGCAGCTCGATTCGAAGGAGAAAGCTCGGGGCTGCTCATTGCAATAACCGCGACAGGAACCACATGTTGTGCTCGGTGGTATGCCAAAAAACTGGGGAGCCAAGAAATAAAAATCGTAGTGTACAAGCCAATCAGGGCAGCACCTCGAATCAAACGAGGTCCTCCGGGATAACTGTTGATCGACTCCCTTAAGAGAACCCCATGTGTACGATACACCATACTGCTTTCCGTATCCTGTTTCGTGCTTGGTGAGCTGCTAGAAAATTAGTGAGCAAAGGAATGAAAATACTTAAACCTTTCTCAAAGTAGTCCCTCGATTCGAACGAGGCCCTCGGGGATGAGCTTTCCCTCATTCAAAGAGAATCCCGTGCGCATGATACACCGTACTGCCTCTCTTACCCTCGTTTATGGTTGGTGAGCTGTTAGAAAATTGGTGAGCTGGGGAGTAAAAAGAGCAAAAGGATCGGTTAGAGCAGTACCTCGAATCGAACGAGGACCTCAGGGTGTACTACTATCTCATGCAATTCAAAAGAGACCCCGTGTGCACAATACACCATACGGCTTCCCTTGTCCTCTTTTGAGGTCGGTGGGATGCGAGCAAAATTGGTCAGTAACGAAATAAGAAATCTCGCAACACTACTGAGAGCAGGACCTCGAATCGAAAACGAGGACCTCGGGGATAAGTATACCGTGCTCTCTAAGAGAACCCCCGGTGCGCAATCCACCACACTGCCGGCTCTACCTTTTTTCCGACTTGGTTCACTGCTAAAGAAATTCTGTGTAAGCTGAGAAAATAGTTCAAAGCACTGGAAGAGCAGCACCTCGATTCGAACGAGGACCTCGGGGGTAATTGGACCTCACCTCGGTATTACCACGAGAACCCGTGTGCACAATACACCATACTTAGTCTATACTGCTTTCATTACCCTATTTCGAGGCGGATTGAGTGTGAGAAAAAAAGGGGAGGTGAGGGATAAAAGAATCGACAAACCCTCAACATCAAGAGCAGTACCTCGAATCGAACGAGGACCTCGGCGATAACAGTCAAATGCCGTATAAGGGAACCCCGCGTGCACGATACACCATACTGCTTTAAATACCCTGCTTTGAGTCGGTGGGGTGCTATAAATCGGTGAGCAAAAGAAATAAAAACATAGAAAGTCCAAGGATATAGCAGCACCTCGAATCGAACGAGGACCTCGGGAAGAAATCCAGGCACCATTAAGAGATTCCCGCATGCACCATACACCATGCTACCGTTCTTACCTTCCGTTCGATGGTGGTACACATAGAGTGCTTGAAAAATCTTACTTATGGGGCCACACATTTATTCCGAACTCACTGCGAATGCGGGATCGGCGGAGCCTCACAATGGGTCGAGTGGAGACTGAAGTGGGTGTCCGCAGCCCGAGCGGAGGGTCTGGAAGTCAGCGAGCTTACGGTGTTTCCGAGGACCGGGATGCATCGTCGAGTTGGAGTTCCACCAGGGGAATCGAGGCAAGGCGAGACCGAGTGAGCCAAGGCGGCGACGAATAAATGCGGAATATCTGTGCACGAGTGGAGTGAATTCGGTAAAAGCACAGAGGCGGATGATGGATCCCGAGGCGGCTGTCGGCATTGTCGGCTCACGGAAATCACATTTCTTGTTACCCTCGACGACGTTGACGATCGCGACAACGACGAGCTCGCTGCTGCCGACGAGCTCCATCCAATATCTAACGAGGTAGGCTCTGACTCCTGCCGCGTCCGCAAGGCCCTCCACACGCCACGAGCTCGACGCCGCCGTTCAGCATCTCGCAGCCGTTCGCTGACCCGGTCCCCTCGCCGCCCGCTCCCCACCGGCGCCGGCGGGTCCCCTCTGCCCAGCTCTATCGTGTGTCTTTTCTTACTCTTCTCCCGCTAGTCGATAAGTGGCCTAACATCTCGCGATCTATACCTTGTTCGCGACTTTGATCCTGCTGCTCGGCGTCTCTTCCGCGATCGTCATGTGTTTACTCCTGCTAAGAAGGCACCATCGCTGCGTGGTCGAGGAGGCGATTGCGAACGGGACATGGGTGCCCCTGGCCCCGCGTGTGAAGGTCGATCCAAGGAAGAAGCCGCGCTTGTGGGACGCGGACCTCGCGCCGCCAATGAACGTGCCGATGGGCGGTGAGCGGTATGGGGGGAGAAGGACGAGTGTGAGGCGATTATGGTGCGTTTCCTTTCTTTTCGTTCGACTCGGTACATGCACTCCGTCCCACATCTCATTCCGGCATAACCCTTGCCCACCTTCGTCCTTTGTCCCCCCGCCTCCATCCCTCTGCGCTGCACCGCCGTCCCCCCGGTATACCGTCACCCTTCTTTATCCACTCCCTCCCATCCTCTTGCTCTTATCTACGCTTCCCCACGCTTCCCTCTGGACCACCCTATCCCGTCTACCGAGCGCGGCTGGCAACAGTTCAAGTTCGGGTTCCGGTTCGAGCGCTACGGCCCTGGCGGGCGGAGCGACACGCCCGAGGCTGGAGTTGTGGGTACTGAACGGCCTTTTCCTGGCGCTTGGCTGGCGGCTGTGGTAAGCGTGAAGCGTACGCACACCGGTGGACGATCCTATAGACTGTATAGATACCTGATTCCCGTGTAAATACTGACTGGACACAGTCGTGGTAATTATCTTGGTCAGCGGTGTAAACATGATCCACAGTCGCGGAGGCGTTGAGATCGATAGCAAGACGCTACTAGTACTACTCCCAACCATGATCCACCCCGTGCGTGACTACAGACATAACGGTGAGCGAAATCGCTCGGAACGGAATGGCAACGTCACGCACCTGGGATCTCTGTCAAGGTTAACATTCCGCGTTGCACAAGCGAAGGAAGTAAAGACCACATCGCTCCCGACCACTCTGAGAAGGGGGGTCTCCCCTGTCCGACAAACACCTTTATTTCCACCATCTTCAAAGAGCTGAGATGAACAACCAACTGGTCGATCGTACGATCCAACCGGTCCCAGCGGAAGAAGTTAACACGCGATTGTACAGGTCCCTCGATAATGATTGTTTCGAGGCGACTATTGTGCGGATAGGCCGTGAACAGGGCAGATAGCAGCTGGAAAATTGTGATCGTGAATAAGTGGATCGAGCGCAGATTCGGGCTGAAAATGAGCGCGATTGACTCTGGAGCCCCTGTAAACAGTTAAGGATACTCTTGGGAAGCAGCTGTGGGGCACTGACAAGGCCCGCTCAGGTAACACAGTCGTAGATGCTCCACCGCAGTTGTCTGGGATACTATCTTGTCTCTCCACTCCGTCACGGCGCACAGTGATTTGACGTGGGCTAAATCAATTCGTGGATTTAATAGACAGGGAGAAAAGGTTTCGCCGGAGGAGTCAGAAACGAGGAGGGATCGGAGCTGGGGGCGCCATGGATCTGAGTCAGGCCAAGGTTTGAGCTCGTCCCACTGTTGTGTAAAGTGCACACGCGACAGTGACAACCCCTTCAGCGAAGTGGCTTTGCTGAAGAGGGATAGCAGTTGGAAGGGAGATTCGACGACGATCCCACGCAGCTGAACGGACTCGAGGTTCGGAGAGGAGAATACATCCGCGAGAGCGGATTTCAGTGCGCGCCCCATTTTATTCCAGTTCATGCTGAATTTTCCGGCGGAGTTCCAATCCGCTGGCGAATTTTCCACAAGGGATAACCGCCGCAGATCAAGGAGAGGGAGGACAAGGGAGAGTGTCCGTCCAGCCATGATCCAGGTCGCATGGGGCTCTGCTGGGTACTGACCGACCAGTACAATGCACAGTTCGTCGACAAGCGGTGCTATGTGGGGAGACGAAGTCAGGAGCTTGTATAGCTTCTGGCAGGGGCTTTGTCGATTGTTGCCAACCGGAGGCGGCGTAATTTCGATCTTTTTAAATATGTGGGTCCGGGTTGAGCAAACAAATGTGCGTGCAGCGAGGGAACAGGCTTTGAGAGCGGGAATATCGTCGTGGAGATTATCGACAATGAGATCGATAAGCTCTTGTGGGATGGGATCATGGGCCATAGCAGCCGGATCGCCGACGAAACAGAGAGCTGGTTGAACCAAGACTCGGCTGAGTCCGACCTGCTCAGAATGAGCAAATGAGAGTGGGGAGGAAGCCGTTGATCAATGGCAGTGTTTCGGCTTGCTCTCGGCAGCATGGCACCGGATAATCCCGCTGACTAATTGATGGATCAGGGCCAAGCAAGCAATTCCCGACCCCCGCTGATTGCAACGCCGCCCGACCGAGAATCGGCAAATTGGCAGCCCCAAATAACTCAAAGCTAACGATCCGATAGAGAATCGGCGGCCTTAGCGGCCAAACATGACATTCCGAGCCTGCTCAGTGGCATAGGAGAGTTCCTGCGACTCGGACATGAATCATCGCATGGGCCACAGATATAAAGCCCGGTGGGTAGGCGGACATTCCAAGACAAAAACCCAACGCAACTTCGCCTCAGCTCTTCCAACCCGTTAATATTGGACCTCTTTCCCTCAACCACCGAGTTGTTCTCTGCCCGCTCACCCGACTGAAAGCCGACGCTAACCATGTTCCTTTCCTCCCCTTGGTCAAATACTACTACGCGCAGCGCGCAAGCACGCCAGGTACCCTCCTCATCGCCGAGTCCACCCTCATCGCTGCCTAAGCAGGGGACTTCCCCAACATGCGTGGCATATGGAGCCGGGATCACATTAACGCGTGGAAGGAGGTGAGATTTCCGGTGCTCATAATGCAAAATTCACTTAACTCTCGGGTACAGGTTGTCAAGGCCGTCCATGCAAAAGGATCCTTTATCTTCCTGCAACTGCTGGCATTGGGACGCTCAATTCCCAGCAACACTGAATTCAGAAGATCCGACCTTCCCGTTTGTCTCTGGTTCGGAAATCCCAATCGTGGAGGGCGATGAGAAACCCCGTTCACTTACCGTTTCCGAGATTAAGGAATATGTCGGTTTGTACGTGCAGGCTGCCAAAATGCCATGGGGGCTGACTTTGACAGCGTTGAAATGCACAGTTCGCTCTAAATTTTGACGTCCTCATATTTCATCGCTTATTTCCCCCACAGACGCCAACGGCTGCATCTTGGACCAATTTATTCAAGATGTTTCGAACAACTGCACCGACGCCTACGGCAGCGAAGCGAAGCGAGCTCTCTTTTCGCTCGAGGTCATCAAGGCTGTCGCCGAGGTCGTTGGTGAGGACAGGACGGCCATCCGTTTCTCCCCTTGGAGTCCTCTCGGTGGTGAGGTCGTTTCGGTCGACGTTATACATCCACCCTTCTAGTGTCTTCCCCAGGAATGGGCATGACCAACCCCATCCCAACGTTCAGCCACATCGTCTCTGAGATCAAGCGTCTCCACCCCAAGCTCGCCTACATCCATCTCATCGAGCCCCGAATCAGCGGGAGCGAGAGCGTAGCCCCGTCGGAGGACAACGCCCGGCAATCGAACGGCTTCATCCGCGACATTTGGGGTGACCGCCCCCTCATCTGCGCAGGGGGATACACGCGAGACAGCCATCAAGTTGGCTGAGCGCAAAAATGCGCTCGTGGCGTGTGGTCGGACGTTCATCGCCAATGTATGAGTTCTTCTTCCCGATCGACGGAAAACTGATCGCTCCCTTTTAGCCCGACTTGCCGCTGCGCTTGGAGAAGAATATTCCCCTGCACCCATACGACCGTTCCACTTTTTATCTGCCGGGACAAAATGTTCCCACCGGGCATACCGACCAGCCGTTCGCGACGCAGCAGTAAAGTTAAATTAGAGGCCATAGATATTAGCCTGTTTGCGCTGCAGCCATCAGAGCCAACAGATGGCATTTTTGCAGTGCGCAAATAGATGGCTGAGTCAACCAATTAAATAAATACATCCCCCAAGTCAGGGAGACATCTATGCCAGTCAATAACAATGTCTGCCTCAAAAAAGGCCGAAGTAACATGCTCTGCCCATATAAATTCCCCGAAATACCAAAACTGGTGCCTAAATTTGGTGTTGTGACAGAGAAAAACCCTGAATGAGCCCCCCAGCTATGTATAGTCCTTGTTTGAAGCGACATAATAATGTCCAAATTAATCTCAGTTATCAGAGCCATCCGAGCCATGAGACATCAAATTGCGCACTGCAAAAATGCCAACTGACGGCTTGGATGGCTGCAGCGCAAACTCTCTATTATAATTTTTGCTTGTCAACTCCGAAATTCCAGTTCAACTTGGTTAACTGTGTATGTTCCCGGACGGCAGACCAAGGTGTTTTGTTGGCTGTGGTGTCGAAGTCGAAGTCGAAGTCACAGAGACCACTGGCAGAATCTGTGTCAACCTACTGTGTAGGATAATCGTCAACCACGTGCACATCCAACTGAAACCTCGGATGGAACGAGGCGGACCTCGGACCAATTGCACCTTGGGGTACGGAAGGGAACCCGTGTATAATACACCATACTGCTTTCCTTGTACTATTTTGGGCTTGGTGTGCTAACAGATTTGGTGAGCAAAGAAGTAAAAAGATTTGGTATACCCTGAACAGAGCAGTACCTCGATTCGAACGAGGACCTCGGGGATAGCTCCCACTAAGGGAACCTCGTGTACACAATACACCATACTCCTTTCTTTTTCCTGTTCGGATGTTGTTGGTGTGTTGGCAAAATTGTTGGGCTGCGGAATAAAAACCAATTATGATTCACACTGGGGGCAAAGACTGACGCATGTGGAAATCACATGCATTAAACACCAGCAACCCTAGGAGCTTGGCTTAATTATGGGGCGTTGAGATATTAATCCGGGTTGAAAGCAGAGATTATCGAATCCAGATTAATGCCGTCAGTGGCGAGCAGGTGTTTGAACAGCATTGCCTTTAAGCAGGTTTAAAGTTTAGGCAGGTCTCAGCTCAACAAAGGGCACCAGGCGGGGTCGAACACCAGACCTCTTGAATTCAACCAGCTGATAAGGGAGATGGAGGTTCCAAGTAGGCTATTTGACCGATGACAGGGACATGAACTTTTGAGTCCACCTGTACCTCCCATCCTCTACCATCCTACTGTCTGCACAATTGTACAGTACACCCCTGCATCAGAGGTGCTTAATCAATGATCAATTGAGCATAATTAATGAGGATTAAACCAACTCCACGACAGTTCAGGATGATGTGCATCAATTGAGCAAGGACAGGCAGTTCATTGAGTTATTGAGCAGGATTGAACAAGGGGTTTGAATACTGCTGCAAGACTCCAACCGATCAAATCAAAGTGGATGGATTAAACAAATGGATGAATGCGGATTAAACACCAGATCAATCCCAATGACAAAAGTAAGCTCAACGAGGAAGATTTAAACGAGGTGGATTGATGAACACAGATTAAACAGCGGATGAATACCAACGACCACAGGAGGCTCAGTGATGACGAATAAGACAAGTTAGAGTAGAAATAAGAGTTGAGTTGGGTGTCTTCTGGACACCGATTGACAGAAGAAGTCGAGCTTCAATGGAATGATTCAGTCTGTGAGGGTCGTACATAAGAAGAGAAGTTACCAATTTAATCTTCATTAAACGTCTCCGACTTCTCAACGCCATACACAAAGCCTCCATTGGAAAGTCAAGGATTGACCGTGCAGAAAATTATATGTACACATAGAGTTCTTCGGCGCCGAGCGGGCCTCCCACCCTTCTTCCCGCTATTTGCCGTGGACACTTTGGCTGCCGGTTGGCGTGTCAATCTCCGCAGCGCCTTGCTTGCGGAGGCAATGGCAGATTTGCTGCCCTTGCGGCTCTGCCGATGGCCATCGCTTCCGATGATCAGATATTAATTTCCACAGATGGCCAGGGGAAAGTGGACTTACAGTACAGGATTTTCGGGCTCTGAGGGGTGATTCTCGTTGCCCTGACTGGAAGACACTGAGAAAATTACATGTAGAGATCCCACAATGATGCTTGCTTGGCTCTTTTTTCCGGGGCTTTGTGATCTCCGAGTGCTCGTCGTGGCTAGTAAAGAACATAAGTACCGTAACTGCCAAGACGGAGTAGAACACTTGCTTGGAGCATTTTACATTCTGCACAATATCTTGAGGTGCCGATGTTTCACTAGTTTCAATTGGACCGAAGTTCATGCAATAAGTGTAGGTGTCCCCACAGGTAAAACCGCGAAGTGTACCCGTTGTTGGGGAGAATCGGAGCAGTGGAATCAACTATCATATCGTCAGAACACATACAAAGACTTAAACATTTTTTCACTTACTCAGGTCTTCATCAGTGTGTGGGACTAGTATATGGACGGCTTGGGATTGCGCAAGGTTGAAATCCTGTGGAGTGGGGGTATGGAACGTCTCAGAAGCGCCCCCAGGTGAGCAGTTGGAACTTGATCTAGTCGATCTCGGAGTCGAGGAGGTCGGATGGAGGGAGTGTCAGGTTCTCCGCACCGTGCAAAATGTTGTCAGGGCCCTCACAACACTATACAACCACAAAGACAAGAATGAAAGGTAACAAAAGGACAATAGTAGGACCGGCGATAATATACAGGATACCATCAAGCGTCGGGATTGCCACATGCAAACATATGATCACTCCAGAGGAGCAAAAAGATCTCGATTCTCGGCGGCCGGAGGGATGGTTGTGGCAGCTGGGGAAGATGGGGAGGCTTTCTCAGAGTAAAATGGAGGAATGGTCAAACAAAGGTACTGCTGAACTTCTCCCCGACAGCCTTGATTCTCTAGATCTGTTATTAGGTGATCAAGTTCAATGGTTTCGCGCAGAGGCGGAGATGCAGCGATGGAAAGAACAGAAAGAGCAGAAACTTGTTGAGTTGCTCTGGACAATTCGGAGTCACGTCAAGATGCAGTCGGTATGGAGTCAACTGGGGGACTCACATGCCAACCAGCCCGGACATGCGACTTACGCTCGTCAGAAGGCGTGGATGTATGAGCGGTGGGCGGAAGATGCACGAAACTTGGTCAGGCTGGGCAGGTACCAGGCATTACTCTCGCTAACGGCAAATGTGATCAAGTTTATCAAGGGGGAACGGATGAAGGAGGAACAATATTTATCTGGTCGTTTATCTACATAGCTTGACTCATGTACTATGATACAAGCTCGATAGAAAGCCTTTTTTGTTTCAGTGACCTCGCCCTGTGGCTGAATGTAATTGATTCAACGACATGTAAGCTGATTATCTTGTAGGGACATTCATTGTGCCAGTTTAGCTCAGTTGGTAAAGTTACGGATTTGTCTTCTGTGGTCTACTCTCACGAGGCCTGCGGATCGAGCCACACGGGGACAATTCGTTCACAGCTTCACAAGATAACCTCGCGTACATGATACACCATACTGCTTTGCCTGTCCTCTTTGCACATAGCTTAGCCCTAGAAAATTGGTGAGCTGGAGAATAAAAATCACAAAGACCAGAAGAGCAGCACCTCGATTCGAACGAGGACCTCGGGGCTAACCACTGTGAGAACTGTTCAGGGAACCCCCATGTGCACGATATACCGTACTGCTTCCTTTATCCTATTTTACACTTGGCTTCGTGCTGTAAAATTGTGGAGCTGGACAATAAATATAAAAGTAGACGGCCTCAAGAAGAGCAGTACCTCGATTCGAACAAGGTCCTCGTGGATAACTATGGATCGACTCCCTCTAAGGGAACCCCATGTGCACGATACACCATGCTGCTTTCCTTACCCTGTTTCGTGCTTGGTCTAGTGCTGCAAAGAAAAATAAAGAAAAAGATGTAACTCCAGACTTAAGGCAGCACCTCGATTCGAACGGGGACCTCGGGGATAAATGCCTGGTCAAGCTAAGAGACCCCCGTGTGCACGATACACCATACTGCTTTCCTTACTCCGTTTCCAGCCGGGTTTAGTCCTAGAAAATGTGTAAGCAAAGAAAGAAAAATGTGCAAGCAAATACCCCCACAGCAGCACCTCGATTCGAACGAGGACCTCGGGGATAATCCTGACTCGATTCCAGCTAAGAGAACCCAGGGTGCACAATACACCATACTGCTCTCCTTGCACTGTTTCGAGTTCGGTAGAGTGCTAGAAAACTGGTAAACTGGGGAATAAAAGGAAAACCTTTGTGCTGAAGAGCAGCACCTCGATTCGAACGAGGACCTCGGGGTGTATGATATTCCCCGATTAAGAGAGCCCCGTGTGCACAATACACCATACTGTTTTCATCTCTCCGTTTGCCCCTGGTGTAGTGTCAGAAAATTGTTGAGCTGAGGAATAAAAACCTCGAGAACATCAAAGTAGAGCAGCACCTCGGAGGACCTCGGGGATGAGCTTTCCCTCGTTCAAAGAGAACCCCCGTGTCCACGATACACCGTACTGCTTCCCTTATCCTATTTTGCACTGGCTTTCGTGAGAAAGAATTGCTGAGTTGGAGAATAAATATAAAAGTGGACGCAGCCTCAATAGAGGAGTACCTCGGATCGAACGAGGACCTCAGGGCTAACCATTGCGAGCGGTGTAACAGAACCCTGTGTGCGCAATACACCATACTGCTTCCATTCCTCTGTTTAGAAGTCGGTGGTCTGCTAGAAAACCGGAGAACTGGGGAATAACAAACTTCAAAAAGGAGAGCCCCGTCGCAGAGAGCAGTACCACGATTCGAACAAGGACCTCAGGGTTAAATGTCCTCCCCTCTCACAAGAGAACCCGGCGTACACCATGCTGCTTTCTTAAATCCGGTTCAAGGGTGGTAGAATGCTGCAAAATTGAAATAAATTGCTGAGCAAAGAAATAAAAACAGTCCTTCACTCGGCCTTAGAGCAGCACCCCGAATTGAACGAGGACTTCGGGGTGTAAGTACTACTACCTCCCAAAGAGGACCCCGCGTGCACCATACACCATGCTGCTTTTCTTAAATTCTTTCACAGTTGGTGGAGTGCTAGAAAAATCTCTTCTCGGTTTAAGCCACTCTGATGGCGGGCGAGGGTCGGCATCACACGGCGGCAACACGGCGGCGCATAGCCTGACAGCTCGCACGATCATTGACGGAACGGGTCGAATGGAGACTGTCTGGCAGTCCAGTGGAAGCCAGCCCAGCTTACGAGGTGAATCGGAGAACTTGGGCTGAGCTGGAGCAGTGATTCAGGGAAGTGGGAGACCTAGACCGAGTGAGACAAAGCCCGCCACGAATAAATGGAAAATATCTGCGAGGGTTCTGAGCGGCCGATCCCGAGGTCGCCGTCGGCACATGTGAAATCATGAGTATGATGTACTATTATAGGCCCCCCTCTAACATTGCACCCTGATGTGGTAAAAAAGCTGATGCCGTCCGTACCTCTGGATCAATTCCTTAGCGAAAAAGTGAACAACTGCCCTACTATAGCATTCACAGTTCCCCAGGCTTATACATTATTCGAGGCAAAACTGAGCCCGTTAGAAAATCGAAATACTCGAAATTAGTCGAATTTGATCAAATTTGATCAAATTACGTATCACTTCTGCTATATCTTTATACCCAGGCGTCCGTTTCCCTCAAAGAAAGTGCTCGAGGCATAATATATGTGTTTCAAATGTATCCGTCGATTTAGACTTGCTATAAGATGAAGAATGGAAGCGGAAAAAAATCGGTAACATTTTTGTCAGAACGGGGGTCAAACGTGACGGTGCCGCCGGCATCTCTCTAACTCTCGCAAGAGTTCTCCAAGAAATATGAAACTTTGACAGACCATTGGATGCATGTTGGAGAGTGGTTGTGCGAAATATCCAAGCTAACGGTGGTACAGAGCAAGAACCCAGCCTGCCATCAAAAAACGTTGTCAGAGGGGGGCCTATAATAGTACCGCTTACAATTCTTTTGTTGCCACTCTCTCCCCTTCTCCGTCGTGGGTCCCAGCGACAAGACACCGCCGACACCGTCGACGACGACGAAGAGCTCACTGCTGCCGACGAGCGCCGTCTAATATCTAACGAAGGCTTTTGTTGCCTATAACGAGCAAATCAGGACCACTAAAGGATAGCTCGCCTTACGACCATGTCTGCGTCCTCAAGCCCATCCACACGGCGCTCGTCGTCCTCGGCGTCGGCGGCGGTGACCCCGTCCCCGTCTGCGAACGCTACAAGCTCGTCCGCGTCGTTCATCGTCTCCCAGACATATACTGGCGACCCCGTCCCCTCGCCGCCCGCGCTCCCCACCGGCAGGCCCCCTCTCGACCCCAACCCGAACAGCGGCCCGCAGTCCTCTGCCCAGCTCTATCGTGCGTCCCATATCTCCCTCTTCTCTTCCTAATTCTGATATCTAGCAGTGTACACATTCCTCGCAACGATCATCCTCCTCCTCGGCGTCTCCTCCGCGATTGTCGCGCGCTCGCTGCTGCTGCGCCGCCGCCACCTCCGCATGGTCGAAGAGGCCATCGCGAACGGGACGTGGGTGCCCCCGGTCCCGCGTGTGAAGGTCGACCTAAGGAAGAAGCCGCGCCTGTGGGACGCGTACCTCGCGCCGCCGCCGAACGTGCCGGTGGGCGGCGGTGGGGTCGGGGGAGGTGGAGGGGAAGGAGAGAAGGACGAGTGGAAGGCTATCATGGTACGTTACCCTTCCTTTCCACATCTGCCCTCGTTCTTGCACTCGATACATTTCACCCCGTCCCTCACTGACTACCCCTTCACAGCCTTTCGCAGTATCGTACACGCCGCCCTCGCCCTCGCCCTCGCCCTCGCACGCCCCGCCTCCTTCCACCACCTCCCTTCCCTCCGCTTCCGCCGCGTCCTCCCCAGCACACCCACCCGCGCGAACGCACTAAATGGCAAAGCAGCGGACGCGTAGCCGGAGCTATAGCTGGAGCAGCCGCGCGTGCGCGTCGCGGTGCTCATCGCCATGCCCATGCCGTCTCCTACTTCCTCTTCTCAAGTATCACTTCCCCCGCCACCGACGCCGCAAACACCCCGCACGCCGCAGCGCCCGACGTGGGCGGACCTCGGCGTGGGGCTGGACGCGGACGGCGAGCCGCTGCTGCCGCAGCTCGAGGTGGGCGTCGTAAGCGTGAGGGTCGTGCCGTCTGCGGAGGGCGAGAATGAGCCTTCTGTATCCCACAAGCCTGAGTTGTAGGCGTTCGAGGTACGTGATATCTGGCTCGTGAATGTCTTCTCGCGCTAACCCCACTGCAGAAATTTGTCTCCGGGATCTGCGAGGTCCTCGACGATTACCCGGTAGAGCTTGTACGTTTACAACACGGACGACATTCGTATCGCATTTCTATACGATGGAGGCGACGAGCAGTTTCTCCGCGCGCTAGCGATGCTCATCGGGCGGCACCAGCGCGTGCGAGGTCGCCGCGATCGTCAGCACGGTGGGCTGCTTTGTGGAGTCCTCGACGCGGAGCGCGAGTGTTTTTCATCGGCGACGCAGCGCGGACGGGATGGGTGTGATCGGCAGGGGACGAGGCTCGCCCCTCGTATTCCGACGCCGCAATCCGTGATCTGCGAACTTCTCCGCGAGGGCGTGCACTTTCGTGGCATTCCTCTCTCTGAGAGCGTGACCCTCACAAGCTGCCCTTCTTCGCAGTGGGAATATGTTTGGGCCCAGCGGCATCGCGGGCGCGGGATCGTCGCGATTTGTCAGCAAGATGGATTATCTTGACGCGGCGAGATCAGGTCTGCAAACGCATTCACGGGGGCGTGCGCTTCCTCGAGCTGGATACCTACGGGCTCGAGGGTCGAGGACCCGCACGTCTCCGTGACGGCGTCCCTCTTGCCGATAGTGCGACCCGATCGAGGAGCTGGACTTCTGCGGTGATTTGTCAGCAAAATGCGTGGCGATTTGTCAGCAAGACCGTGGTATCTTGCGGACATTTCAGTACACCGTGCGTTCCTGCCGCTACTTCTTGTCAAGTATAACCTGGCCTTGCCGCCAGAAATACTCTGTGTTTCCGGCCGAATGGTGCGCCACAGCGGTCCGCATGCCGCACACTCGGAGACAGCGGCGCGTCCGTCGCTTGTTGCGTGTGTGGGGCTTGCGGATGGTCGGTGCAGCAGTGTCGACGACTTTGCTCTAGTTTTAAGGCGCTGAGAGAAGCCTGGGAAGTTGGTTATCTCCGTCCCATGGTCTGTGCAGCTACGTAATTCTAGGTCGCGTGGGGGCGTCTACGTGCGCCGCAAACTACTCTCTCGTTCATCAGGAAGGCCGCGTAAACTCAACTTTCACTTTGACAGTAAAGTAAAGACGACATTGAAAGCGCAGGATCAGATCGACTTTTATGTGGGGCAACGGCTCGGAGGGTTTCAATCGATCCAAGTACGCTAAATCAAAGTGATGGGGCGCAGCATATTCTACAGCTCGCAAATATTTTGGGAGTTTCTAAACGGACGGTTACGTTGAGCTGGTTGACTACTCCATGCACGTATATTTGAGCAGTCTGGTCGGGATGGGCATCGCTGCTTGAACTTGTTTCAGCATAGATGATACGAGGCTTCAAGAAGATAAAATTCTGGGGAAACGATTAATTGTTACGAAGTAAGGCAGGAAAGAGATAGAGAAGACATGCACTGTTGTTGCTGTCAAGACGAATAGCTTCCTATAAACCAAATCGTCCGAATTCCTCCATGACCTCAAACTGGCTGAGGAAGTCCGTTTGATTTCGCCTGAGCGTGTCCACAATGGGCCCAACCTTCCCATCAAGAAGCCGCATCACGATTTTCGACTCCTCGGTATACTTGGGCCAGAAGGTTCCTGGATTGAGATCGTTGACAAAGGAGATGTAGAAGTCTTGCATCTGCGTCACGAGTTTCTGAGCGGGTACCGGTTTGGGCCCTATATCCAGATAGTAGAGGTCGTTGGAATGGAATACTATTTGTCAAAAAAAAAAAAAGGAATGAACACCAGCGGGAAGCGAGGAGTTAGGCTGGGACAAGAACTTGCCTCCGAGGAAGGCCGGGAAGCCGAGAATTCGTTGCTGGAAAGAATATGCCCACACGTCCTGGTTCCGCTGCTTGGCCGATGCAACCTTGAGGAATTGGCGCTGAGGAGCCAGGAACCCATTATCGTTGAAGAACTCAGCAGCAC